ATCGGGCTTAGAGCACCCCTTCATTCTTCACACACCTTACCCCATCTTGAGAACTAGCGTTCACTCTTGGCTTGTCCCTAAAACTTGTTCCTCGTGGGCTTCATCTTTATCACCTTTGCCCCATCTTGAAAACATCCTCTAGCTTGTTCTAAGACTTGTTCCTCATGGGCTTCACACTATTAACATACCTTGTGTCATCATCAACTCTTGATTGAATCTCTATAGCACCTCACGATCATCATCTACTCTGACAAACTTCTCACCAATTTTCAGCCTATTGATCTTCAGGACCAATCACAGGCTCTGACCAACTATCGGCTCTAATACCAGTTGGGAAAAATTAACTCCCTCCAGCCCACTCAACGGTGGGCTGTTATTGAGAGTTAAATTCCTCTTTCATCACACATTGCAGAAGCATCATCACATCACATCAACACAAGTATATATGGAGATAACAATCACACACATCCACGCACAATATTTTACATGGTTCACCCAATTCTAGGGTTACGTCAATGGGAGAGAAAAATTTCAATGTTATGAATAAAGGAAGAGAATATACAATCATATGTCAAAACCCCACTCACTCACTCATCATCTCTTTTGAGGCTACATGTATACACTCGGGAATTACATATACTCTCCCCTCTCCTCACAACACTCACACTTAAACCCCCTACATTTTTTCTCTCTTCTCTCTCTCTCTAAACCCTTCACACCCATCTCTATTTATAGAATCTTCAAAAACCTAATTCCTTGTTGGATAAGTATTTCTTAACTTGCTTACAAGGAGTCACCATAATGATCAAAACTCTAAAATAGAAATATAATATGATACAATTTCCTCTACAAATTTCAACCTTCTAAAACGAAAAAGGAAACTAATTTTCTGTATAAGAATTTTGAGCCACAAACCGAACAATCTCTATCTTGGCTCAAAATTCGTTTTCACGTATTCCTTCATAACTCTACCTTGAACAATGATCTCTTTATAACTCCTCTACCTCAAATAAAACACTATGATAAACTTGAGAAACACTCTAACAGAAATTTCATCAATGCTCAGAAATAATGCATAGTAGTGCCCACCTAACCATCTATATAATGACTGTGAGCTATGTTTGGAACACATTGTGTAATGGGTGCAATTGTGTGAGCCTTTTTAGGTTGAGGTCATCATCTATTGACTTGCTAAGGGCCCGTTTACTAACACTTTTACTTTCTTATTTTTACTTTGTCAAAAAGTAAAAGCATGATTTTGATTTCTTGAATTGAAATTGAAAGTGAAATAATGTTCAATAATTTATTTTACTTTCAAAATTTTGAAATCAAAAAATAGGAAGTAAGTTTAATAATTTTAATTTTATTTTCCTGTTATATTTGTTTCTCTAATTTTTTGTATCTTTCTCTCTCTAAATTGATTACTATGTTTGTTGTGCTTGCTGCAACTTCCATCTCATCTCAAAGAAAAAGAAAAACAGAATACGAGTAGTAGAATAGAGAAGAAAGAGAGAGAAAGAGGAAGAATAGAGAAGAAAGAGAGAGAGAAAGAGAAAGAGGAAGAGAGAGAATTCACGATACATTATTTTTTTCTTTGGTCATCTTGTGTGTAAGAGATGGGTAACACACAGAGGCTTCTTGCGTCTGAGATGGGAATTATTGTGTGCCGATGCCGGAATCCATGAAAACCAGAGCCTTGAATTTGGGTCTCCCTCTCAGATGCAGGAATCCACAGACAAACTCATTGGGACTAGAATTTTGGAGCATGAATTACTTGTGGATGCAAATTTGGGTCTCCCTCTCCGATGCCCAGTTGCCGGATTCCTTGCTCATATCGTCACAGCCTTGTCGCCGTTCGATCCGTCGATAAGTTTAGTCTGGACTCATCTTGGAGACATTCCTCGCCGCTTCAACACCTCCACCACAGAAACCCTCACTCACCATCACCCCTTTCTGCGAATCCCATGCCTACCCTGTCTTGCTTGTGCCAAAATTCTGGGGAGCTTGCAAAAACCAAAGAAGATTTCGGATGTGGCGATGATGGGGGTGGTTGTTGACGGCACGGGTCTGCTTTCGGTTTTTTTTTTTTTTTTTTTTTTTCCCTATGACTGAAGTTGATTTGGGTATATTGTTGATGGCTTTTAATGTATATGAGAGAGAAGAGAGATGGTTGTGACAGTAGCAATGGTGGGAGGAGGTGGTAGTGGCAATGACCATGGCGGAGGAGATGGTGGTGAGAGATGGTTAGAATATTTTTATTTTTTTATTTTTATAAATAGTGCTACAGTAGAAAAAGTCATTTCTGTGAACAATATAGAAAATAGAGAAAGTAAGGATTTCTCACTTTCTCTTCTCTTTACAAAATTAGAAAGTACTTTCTTAAAGTAAAAAAGTGAAAGTATTTTATTGAACATGATTTTTACTTTTACTTCACAATTTTAGAAATTGACAGTAAAAATCAGGAATCATTCTTGTCAGTAAACAGGCCCTAAGTGACTCCCGTTAAATTGCTATAAATTCGCAATTAACGTTTAGATTCTCAAATGAACCAATTGATTGCTAGTGGTGTACAACATTAATTGTACCACTGAGCTTGAGTGCGTTTCTAAAGAGGATCAGCAAATCTCCAAATGGTCATAGCCAAAGAGATATTTATTGAATCACAAGTTTGTTTATTCAGAATAACAGTTTTATGTCCAAATGCACCAATCAAAAGTTTGATTCTCACAGATGGGTGTTTGAATTTTTATTTATCTATTTTCTGTAAGAAAGTTGTAAAGAAATAAAGGATTACTAATTTAGGTTTGTTGGGTGGTAGTTTTATATGACAAATGTACAATAACAATGAACTCATTTTCCCAACTATTTGGGTCAGTTATATAAATCCTATTTTTATTTTGCTCTATCTGAGGTAGTTAATTCACATGTTATCCCGGCTAACTCGGTCTACAATAACTTTGATTTTCCTCTTTTTGTAGTATTACCCTCAATATGAATTATGTCACTTTTCCTAATGAACACATTTAAAGGTCTTATTTGGCAACTGTTTCTGTTTTGCATTCTATTTTCATCCGAAATATAAATGTCTTTGCTGTGAAATGTGTTCAATAGTGATTGGAAGCATGGTAACATAAAATTTGTTGTAAGATAACCTCAAGGATTTGATTTTAGTGGATAAAACATTTGGCCCTAGTGCTTCAAGAAGCATTAGGTCTAACGTGCCACTACTCGTGAATGCAAACAATTACTTGGAAGGGGGCAGGTGTGTGACTACCAACTAGGAAATAAAAATTTGTTGCAAAATTTTTGAAAACAACACATGAAAACATGTTTGATAAAATAGTGTTGCAAGATTAAAACACAAAATAGATAATAGAAAAAGACACATTAGGAAAGACCAATTGGGAGTTCCTGGTTTGGACCTCTTTTTGACAACAAACACAATACCAGTTAAATCGCAACAAAAGTTTCTAAACGTGTTTCAATATTTTGCTTCACTACAGCACACTATCGGAAACAAAAAATACCAGTGATTGTCAAAATAAGCCCTTAAAATTTTCTTTGCATCTTTAACTGATTCTCTCTCATTTAAGCTCCAATTTGTACTGCCACAACCATGTTCCGAACGTAATCATTTATAATTCTCTCATTTATAAGGCAAATGTGACTGCCAAATAAGTTTTCCTTCATTTTAGAAGTGCAAGACTGCAGAGGACTAGTTACATATTATGTCTCTTAATTCAATTTTCTTGAATAATTAATTTCCACCGATACATAGAAAGTTCTACTGGTTTACAGCTTCTAATTTGCAGCCTTAATGACACCAAACCCTCCAATAAGTTTTAACTATCAACCCATGTCAAATTGAAGCTGCTATTGAAATGTGGCGCGCAATTTTGTCAGCATAAATTATACACGAGTAATGAACAAAACGTACTCGAAAATCGGTCATAGAAAATATTTTGAAGCAACAACAGATCCCATGAGCAGAAAATTTACACTCTGCATTTAAATGAGACCACTGAATTCTGGGTGATCTTCTCTTCCCTCCAGTTCAACTTCCACAGTAAACACATCTTCAAAATCAAGAAATTCATCAGGATTCGTTTGAGCCATAACATCCGAATATGCATCCATTAGGCATTAACCCTTGCTCAAAAACAGAATCCGTGTCTTCAAAGAAACAGGTTCTTTGGTGTTGCAGCTGGAATACCTATGGTCGATCGTCTTCAATTTTATGAATGTACATGCCATTCTTCGAGACTGGTTTGGTAACTTGGCCGCCAACCTTTGCCAACAATGGTTTGTCTAATGTGTCATTTACTTCTTTCTCAGTCCACCTGTGTGACGTCTCACATCGCCTGATGAGAGAAGTTGTCGACACTTCTAAGAAGATCCTCCAACGGTATATAAACGCATTTTAAAAACTGTGAACGTCAAAAGAGTGCAAAGGAGACAAATATCCACACACAATACATCCAAAGTCCAAACATATATTAGTTACAGATGTTATGGATGTGTGCGTGTGTGATCTCACCTGTATATGGTCAATTAATCAATACAGTATGCATGTGTTGAATGAAACCGCCACACATACTGTCCAAGAGATGTACTTCTTCCTGGTTCAAGAAAATGAGAATTCCTTAAAACTTATATTACCCTTTTGTGCCAATAAATAAGGGTAAAAAAAATAAAGAAATTAAATTGACTGGTAGAAAAATAGTAATAAATATAAAACAATAATGCAACACAAGGGTAGAACCTGAGTCATAAAGTACTGCCAATTAGTTGCTTTCTCGATCAAGACAGTAATCCGCTTTGGAAAACAAATGTTAATAATCTTTTAGGCACAAAAGCTCATCTTCACTCACTATGGCTGTCGTCGTCCGTGGATACAACAAGATCTGTCATTGCTTGGTTTTTAACTAAGGATTCGCAGTGTAAATTAATTATCTAAAAAACTGTTTAAAAAATAAAGTTATGCAGTTACATCTGAAAACGATAACAATGAAAATTCATTGTTTTATTGCTTAACACACATAATAGGAGCGCACACAGTTTTGATATGTAGATAGAAATTGAAAGGACACTGTTACATAATAGTGCACATAATTACATTTGTAGTGCACATAATTAAGTAGACAGAACTTAGAACTTTATTTAAAATACAGAATAGAGTATGATATCTCTTTTCTGATTTATTTTGGTACAGATAAACTACTGTGCGAGACGATTTTTGAACCATATGGCTGAGTCTTTAGGAAATCTGGTCAACGTCTGGTTAACATAGTTCACGAAAACAAGGCCAAATCGGACCGTGTAACCTTCAGACCATTCGAAATTATCCAGGAATGACCAAACAAAATAACCTTTCACATTCACCTTGTTCACCGCAACGAGTTTATTACTGTCAAAAAACCAAATATAACATCCATGGATTAGTATTTATGTGGGAAAAATTAATTTAAAAGGAAAATGGATCCTTTTGAAATGTTATGAATATATAAAATACTAACATCATGACACCACTGAGGACACGAAGATGATCCCTATGGTACTGTGTTCTCATAAAATCCTGTGAGATATGTTCCTGATTGACTAAGTCAACTCCTGCAAAGAATAGTCAGACATAAATATTCAAAAAATATTATTGAGTAAATAATAGGAAACTGATGAGGAAATAAAAAGATTTCTGGGCTCACTAAAGAAAAGAATGTTTCAGGGAGAGAAGGAATCTTTAGATAATACAAGCTTAATTTTAAGTATTTTTATCTTTTTTAGTTATAACTCGAAAGGTTTATGTCTGTTTTAGAAAGAAACAGATTTTTGAGTAAATTTATGTATTTTTTTGAAAAACATATTTTTTAAGAAAAATTATGTCCATTTAGGATATTTTTCTAAAAGGTTGTACCCATTATGAATACATACTCTTTCAAACTTAAACACCATCCATCTGTATATCTATTCTAAAATGACTATAACCTTTCAACAATTAATTAAAAAATATATTTTATATATTTTCAACAAATATTACCACATAAATATGTAAGACATACAAACTATTCCCGTACCATAAACGATATATGCAAACTATAGCACATATTAAATATATAATTTAAACATTATATATATAAGAGAGGTAAAATAAAAAAAAAAAAAAAAAGATCTCATATGTATTTTACCGTTTTCAGTAACATAGATAACAGGATTATCATAATTTTTCTTTGTGTAGAGCAAAAGATCTCCAAGTCCTTTTGGATAAATATAGAGCCAGTCTGAGGCAGCCTGAAAAATCAATTAAAACATAGATCACTTTATGCTGTGTTACAAATACAAATTCTGGATATAAATAACTGAATCCTAATTAAATTACTTTTTATGAGTTGCAAAACTATCCAATCAAAAAGGATTAACTTGAAATTAATTTATTATTTTTTTCTTCTTCGTGTTTTTTGCTTAGAGACATTTATTATAGTATATTTTAAATATATTATTCATAATAATGTACTCTGCAAACATTTACCTTTGGACCAATTTGGTGCCCACTTTTGTTTATCGCTGATGCAACAACAGAAAATTATTGTCAATAACATGAAGTAAACATCTTTATCAGATGATATAAGATCTCCTCTCCTCTGGAGAGGTTGATGTTCGAGCCCCGATGGGGACGAAATATATAATGGATGTTTATTTGTTTGAACTTTCAACAATAAATAAATAAACAAACATGATAAAGAAAATATATAGAACACAAAAATGGAATGATTAGATTAACTTACGTGAAAGTTTTGAGCAAGAATCTGTCAAGTAGCTTGGGATTTTATTGCAATCAACATCATATGCATAAGCCGCAGTATAATAGTTTAACCCTATGAAATCGAAAGACCCTTTTACCATTTCCGACTGAGCCTTTGAAAATATTGGCAACCGCTCTTTGACGTGTTCAATCATTGAAGATGGATAGCTGCCACTATTCAAAGGTTCCATAAACCTAGAAAAAAAATACCAATAATTGTACCAATAGACATATAAATATCGATGCACACATATATATAGCTATATATTCTCTCTGGCTTCTCAAAATTCAAATCAATAGTGGGTTAATTTGTGTCTCCTGGCCTGTGAGACATATTTTTAGTTACTTTAAATTTCCTCCAAATTCAATTTTAAGATGCTAATTCGGTGCTAAAAGCATCATGATCATAATTATGGTATGAATAAATTTGTATAAAGAACAATGCAATGGACATACTTACCATCCATACATGAAATCAAGGGCCCGATTTGCTGCATCAATGTCTTTTTTTGACTGAGCATCGGATGGAACCATCCACTGAACAACATTTACAATACCAATTTGACCCATGATTTTACCTTCGCTACTCCTCTACACAAGATCGTGCATGGCCATTCATCAGAACCATCGTATTATTAAAACTTAAGAATAGTGAAGAAATTGATTGAGAACGATAGTACTAGTTAATTCAAGTGACTGTGCATTAAAAATAAAAATAAAGAATAAAAATAAATAAATCGTTTAAGAGATCCTGTAAACTGACGCAACACAACTACATCATAGTGCAACATAGCTATATCACAATGCAACACAGCTACATCACAAAATGCAGCACATGTAACTACTTTTAAAAAGTTATGCAACACATTTATATAGAAGATACAATACTCATGCAACATATTACTTCATGTTGCAACGTTATAACACTATTAAATCGAGAATTTAATATATTTACATAGTTGTTGCATTGTCGATATAAAATTGTTGCATTAGACATGGGGCAGACAGAGGACAAAAATGTCACGTGAGAGTTCTTCTAAAGGTGGTCGATATATATATATATATATATTGGAAGTTTGGCGGTCGAAATATTACATTATTATGACATGTTAAGTTTATACAATTTAAGTACACTAACCTGGTAATTCCTTTTATAAAGTTGCACTGCACGTGCATGAGCAAGAAGTATATTGTGCGCAACAATGTAAGGCTCAGTGCCCGAATCACCTTTCACAGGGCAGTTTGTGGAAAATGAATTAGCAGCACCACCACCAAAAGCTCTGCCAGCTCTAAACAAATCTCCGGAATTACTTTCCAAACCTTTGTCCTTCTTGGAACATCTACCAGGTGGAAATGCACCATAGGCAAATCCCATGGAAGTGTAAGACCATGGCTCGTTTACAGTGATCCAGTATTTCACCTTATTGCCAAACTCTCTAAAGCAAAGATCAGCATAATCGTGAAAATCTTTCCTGTACATTAATAAAAACATTGAATGGTTTTATATTAATGCATAGCATGAGATTAAATATATATATATATAGTACCAATACCTAATATATATATACATGAAGATTACGTACACAATTCTGTGGTTCAGAAACCCTCCATATTCATCCTGAAGGGCTTGTGGGATATCAAAGTGGAATAAGGTAACAAAAGGCTCCAGTCCTGATTAAAAAATTATGCCTATTTATTTACGAAATTAAAGAATTATACTTTTTTCGAAATTGACAATAATTACACAACATTATAAAAATAATAATAAAAATAAAGAAGAATAAGAAGAAGAAGAAGAAAGGGAGGGGAGGCATAGGTTTGTGACCTTTGGATAAGCTCTCATCGATGAGATTGTGATAGTACTTGAGTCCGTCAGGATTAACTCCCGGGTCTTCACTTTCCCTTCCACCTAGACATCAAAACCATTAGAAAAAGAGAATTATGCTATTTCTTTGTCGAAATTTACATAAAATTATGATAGCAATCTAATAGGTACTAAATAACACACACACCAAAAACAAAAACAAAAACAAAAACAAAAAACACAAAAAAGAAAAGAAAAGTCATCTATTGTGTGAATTTCATTATGGATCAAGTGTATGCAATGGAGTCATCTTAAGACTGCGCCTAAGAAGAAGAACAAAATGATTTAACCGTTCGATTATTCCTAACCAAAAACATTGATGCAAATCAAGACAATTAGACATCAAAATTGACATGATCCCATTTGGGACCCATCGTCCTTGCTGGACCTGGCTGAACTTGGGTTTGTGCAGGTTCTGCCATTTTCGAAAAGAATGACTCTAATGCCACTTCCGGGGGATTGACTTTGACACCATCTATCATGATCCCACCATCTGCCTCGACTCAGCCCATTTAGGAAGGAATTGGTTCTGATACTATCTGTTGGGACCAGGACTTAGTGGGATGTCACATATCAAGATGTAAGGTGCCAATAGATTTTACGTGCTTGAATTCTACTAAAGCATATTGCATGATAATTAAATATCTTACTAGGTAAAATTCTGGCCCATGAGAAGGAAATTCTAACAGCGTCAAATCCAACCTGCTTCATTAGCTGAAAGTCACCCTGCAAGATTTCTAAATCTCTTATTAAAATATTCACGTAAAACGACAATTGTTACTCACTAGAGAAGAGAAGTGTTTTACAACTACAATCAAGTAAAATTTCAAAAGTTTGCTCCTAACTTTTTTTTTATACAAATTTATTTACTGGAAAAAATATATATATATATATTACTATGACAACTCTGAGTCAGGCAATATTACCGGGTAAAGATTATAAAAGTCAACCGCAACTTGCCCACTAGCATTGTTCTTTACCATTTCTGCAGCACCGTAAGAATGCAATCTAGTTATAAACTTTCGAATGCAGAATAAATCAAATTATGTTCATGCAGCACCATCATGATGTTACTTGTTAAATAGAAATGATATTTCTAATCAGTATGTGTATGCATATATATTTAGAGAGAGAGAGAGAGAGAGAGAGAGAGATACCTGGGTATGTTTCAGTGAAGTAATCCCAATTACTTGTTCCTTTACCACTTACATTCCAAGCACCTTCATACTATTGCAGCAGAAAAATAAAATAAAATGAAGGAAATAAATGATACTTCGAATAATATGCAAAAGGGGTTGTTTTTCATATAATAGTGATTCTCTGTCCAAAGATAGAGTACCGAAAGGGGAAGCCAAACAGGCTCCTCCTTTGGATGCACTCTGTCTTCAGAAAGTGTATCATTACTCTTAATTTTATTAGTGTAGGAATCCAATTAAAGACGTGCCTGGTAAGCCGATGATCCTGCCCCGAATATGAAACCATCTGGAAAATTACTTCGTTTGAAAGACCAGTTGGCCTCTGCATCATCACTCGGTGCAGCGTCGACATCAGCACGAGCCACTGAAGCAACACAAACAATAAGAATAAGGAGGAGAGGGCCTTCAATTCCCATAGTTAGTTAATTGTTTCTGATTCTAATATGGGCTCCTAAGCTCCCTTTATATAGCATTACAACCACTAATAGAGGGGAGGGCATAGCCTTTTTCAGGAGCAGTTCTTGTAGTGCAATTGTACGTAATATCATATGTAATGCGCACATAAACAAGCAGAATCCATCTTTAGTGATGAGAATTTTTGGAGAACATAATTGATAAATAATAAATTTATTAAACATTAATTTTAATCTACATTTATAAATAAATAAATAAATCCTTACAGGTATACAATTTTTAGTTTATAAATAAGACAACACTATACTTTCAAGATGACAATCTTATGCAAATCTTGTGTGTGTATTACATCTAATGCTAGGTTATAAGAGAGTTCTTAATCTCTTTTACTATACAAATTTAATTTTGGTATTAACTCTAACCATTTATAAATATAAATTTATACAAGGGTCTATATTTTGTAAATGCCTCTAAGAACCTATCCTTAATGTGACCATGGCATTTTGATTAATGCATTAATTTTGGTAATCAACTCAAGTCCTTGATGGAACACCTGATCTAAGTGCCTAGCCTTTGAGAAGGTGATCGAAGATCTTGAGTTCGACTTTCCCATGAAAGACAGCTTACTTCCTGAGTTTTTTTTCAAGTATTAACCAATCCCGAGTGGATGGTGACCTATATATACATGTCTCGAGCTAGTTTTAGCCAAATTAAAAGTTAGGATACCTAACTTGCCACTGGAAATGATAAAGGATAGAGTCATTTCGAATTGTATATAGTTCTTGAAAATCAATCAACACACTGCCTTATCATAATATATATTCATATGTATACATATATCGAATTTATAGTTGTTTTGTTTAAGGAAATGGCTTGGGATAATTTGGCTTAATTTTAAGTACAAGACAAGCTACATGGTGAAAATGCTTCCCCTTTAAAGTTGCTTCAAGCAATCCATTTTCACCTAGACAAAGAAAGTGGTACAACCACAGTTCATAGCTTAATTATTTGATTTGCAAATGTAATGGCATCTAAGTTTCCAATTAGATATTAATCTTTAAAAAATGATTTTGGTAGGTAGTTGCTAGGAAGCATCTTCAAGAGAGAATGTTTCCCAGTAGCCAACAAGTCATTTCACTAATGCTCTGTTGTGTACTCTAGGATCTGGATAGAATACCATACATCTTTTTAATCAATTGAATATATATATATATATATATATATATATATAAAATGATTTTGGTAGGTAGTTGCTAGGAAGCATCTTCAAGAGAGAATGTTTCCCAGTAGCCAACAAGTCATTTCACTAATGCTCTGTTGTGTACTCTAGGATCTGGATAGAATACCATACATCTTTTTAATCATTTGAATATATATATATATATATATATATATATATATATATATATATATAATGTATCATTTTTTTTTAGTGTAATCCATGTTTGGAAGCACCATTTCTCTAGTGGGTGTAAATGCCTTGGCCACTAAAAGATTTAATAACTTGTTTAATAACATTTCTGTAATTGGTTGTAACTAAAAAAGCCTATCTTGGTCGCACATTCGAGAAAGAATGGTTCATGGCTAATGGCCACCAAAAAATTCTCCAATGGGTGTTTACACCCCATAAAGAGGAAATTGATTAATTGGTTATGTGGAAGCTCAATTGGGCCATTAAGCTTGAGTGCATTTCTGAAGAGAGTGTAGATCTCCAAATCATCATACCTAAAAGAGATGCAACTAGAACAGTAACATTTTCTGAGGCACCAAGCGCCCGTTTCATTCTCATGATGTTGTATATGAAAATCGAGAATGTCTATGAAGAAATAGATTGGAGCTACTGATGTGATTCATTGGAGGTGTAGTTTTACAGAGGAAGTGTGATGTCGTAATAGTTTGTGTTACAACAAACAACCGCCAACCAACAGTAAAGATATACGGCGAAAGATTTCACTACGCCAAAATCAAAAGATTACAAATTTCAGCCCCCAAATCCTAGCCCTCGCTCCCATGCTAAGAAATTCAAATTTTACAATCCTTGGGAGTCGAAGGCAAGTACGATGAGCAAATGAGGAACTGACCAAAGATATTCATATATAATTTTTTTTTTTTTTTAAAAAGTGGGGGAACTCATATGCTAATTAATTCAAAATCACTCTTTTTCCATGGGGTTTTCCGTCTCCAAATAACAAAATAATCGAAACATTCTCAGGTGAGTTCCAATGTGTTAATTTTCTTTCAAGATTTAGCCAATTTCTTTTCAGTAAATTTCCTGAATAAAGCCACAGGACAAGGTGATTAGGAATCCATTTGTGAACAGAGAAAAAGATAAAATGGGTTATCGTATATACATATTATATACTATTATAGAGAGAGAAACAGATAAAAGTTACATAAAGGTTGGGGCAAGCGCATACCGGATGCAGGGACTGATAGTTTAAGAGACTCGGAAGCTTCTGTAAGATAGGAGAGAGAGAGAGGGGGTGGGTTGGTGGTGGTTTTGGGAATGATGGGTGGGAGGAAAGTAAAATCATTTGGAAATACTGAATATGGATTTAGTTATTTATAATTTAAGGTGCTGATTTAGTACTTCCAAACTCATCAGGTTGGAGGGTTGTTTTTAAGAACAGCCGGTCTCATATTAAAACACGTTAATTATCCCCAACATCTATATGGACTTGTATATTGTGGCGATATTAGTAAGGTTCTATTAGTACATGTATGTTTTAATCTGTGAATTAATTTTTTAAAAATCACTTATATCAAAATTTGGGAAATTAATATATATATATATATATAACTCTGACTACAACTAATGATTGTCAGTATCATGACCATAGAAGGAAGGGAAATTTAAAATAAAATAATAATAATAATAATAATAGTATTAAAAAGTTCTGCCGCTAAGATCATCAATTCAATTTTCTTAATTCAATTCCACTTTGACACAGAAAGTTCTGCCGCTAAGGGGTTTACAGCTTCCATTTTGCAGCCTCCAATTATACACTGATCTTCTCCAAATGCAGGTTACCTCCTTAAAAATTATATTAATATTAGGATCTAAACTTTGACCTTTCAAAATTTTTAATGAATTTGACACATTCCAATACAGTATTCCCAGATTTCAAGCAAGATTTTGGGAAACACATTAGTCAGCATATATATTATCCAGGTAATAACGTAACAAACTCCAAAAATCATATCTAAAATATTTGGAAACAACCAAAAATCCCATGAGCAGAAGACTTTACACCCTGCAGCAACAAAAAAAGACCATACAATAACTATAGTGGCAAGTGCAGTTGCAAATTATAGACATCCTGTTGCCCAGATCGGAATTTTGCCATTTTAGGCATCATGAACATTTTCATTGAACTCCAGGATATTTGAAATGATACTGGACGGATCCTACCCTCCCTAGGGTCCATATGAAGGAAAGAAGTGCTTCTCAAATAATTTTGCATCAAGTCTTGAGAACCTTGCTTCATAACTGGTACAACTGTCAGCTCAACACCGATGAGCAAATTAAATTCAGAAAACTTCAGCAAAAACTTCTGAAAGACGTGCGTTTGAATCATTCTAGACAAAAGTAATAAAGCATCAAGAATTCAAGATCCAGGTATCTCTCCTTCTTCTAGTTCTTCCTCCACTTGAATGAGACCACTGAAATCTGGGTGATCTTCTCTTCCTTCCAGTTCAACTTCCTCAGTAAATAAATCTTCAAAATCAAAAAATTCATCAGGATTAGTTTGTTCCACAAGATCGGAGTACACATCCATTAACCCTTGCTCAAAAACAAAATCAATGTCCTCAAAAAATCCAGGTTCTTTGGTCTTGCAGCTGGAATACATATGGTCATCTTCAGTTTTATGAATGTGCACGCCATTCTTCAAGACTGGTTTGGTAGCTTGGGCAACCTTTGCCAACAATGGTTTGTCTAATGTGTCAGTTACTTCCTTCTCAGCCCTCCTGTCTCGATCAGGTATCTGGAATACTGTATTCGGTTTGACATGCTGCATGAGATCCAAAACCTTAGGACCCGAACAGCTCCCATCTTCTATTATCTCCTCCCTGAAGGTCACGCCTTGGGGACTTGGGTTATTATTGTTCGCAGACTCCTTAAGCTCTGGTTTATGAGGAATTGTATCTTTAATAACTTCAAAATTATTACTGTGTGAAGGGAGAAAAACATAAATAACAGGGTACTCCAAAATAACCAAATCAGCTAATTGTTGGCATATGGGAGACTTTAAATCCAATTCACGGAAAGGTGATCTCGGGCCCTGCAATGACAAGAGATAACTTCATTCTGAATCAGATAAAAGATAATGAGTGGATAAATGCAAAATGAACATGATAGACCACACAAGGAAAAACTTATATGTTGGTTCAATCATTTAAACAAAGAAAGGATTCACATCTAGCCCCATCCAACTCCAACCCAAGAGCCTCACTCCCAAATCTAATGCTAGCCAAATTGATTAAAGGGAACATTTGTTAGTATCTTATGATGCACGAATAAAAACATTGATTAATTACAGATGTTATGGCTCTCTCTCTCTCTCTGTGGGTGTGTGTGAGTGTGTGTTTGTGTGGTGCAATGTATTTTGTTGCAGCAGCTGTCAAAACAGAAGGCATGCAAGGCCTCATTTCTTTTTCTTTTTATTTATTTATTTTTTAATTTATATTTTATTTGATAAGTGCAAGAGCTGCCCATATGAGCAGCAAGACATATACAGGTTGTTCAGTTTTGGTTGAGCAGTCAAATGCCTCGTCCTACCCCAACTCTAAAGGGCATCACACCTAAAGTAAATGTTGCCTAGGTAAATTATCAAACAGAAGTACACGGTGACACGACTAAATATTCATTTTTTTTTTTTTTGATAAGTAAGAAATGCATAAAAAGCGCGCAAAAGGAGAGCGCGTCCCAAGAGAACAACAACAGACCAAAAAAAACCACTAAGCCTTCAAAGAGGCCAAAAAACCAACAATCTCATCACCGTATCTAAAATCTCTCCCTAAAACCCAACAAAAAAGAGTGGAAAGAATAGAGAACTTAAGAAAAGAAATAGTCCTCTCATTTCCATCGAAATATCTCCTATTCCTCTCGAGCCAAATACACCACCACACTCAAAGGGGAACAAGAAGGGGGAAAGCGGATCCCCTGTCTCAAACCCCCCGAGCTAGTGAAAAAACCTGTCGGAGCTCCATTCACAAGAATAGAGAACCGAGCATTGGAGATACAAAAATATTCATATGTTTTTTAATATTTTGTTTTAGTTGTCAAGGTAAAAATGGCATTTCCGTGTAACATAGTGTGTTCAAGATGGGAAGTAAACTTGACTTATTAAATATGCCTGCTAATACCATACCTAAGTACCATGTATATACTTCACACATTTAGAATAACTATGTAACATAGGCAGGGATATATGAAATGCTCGATCCTGCACCCCAAGGAGGGAGATTATGCTGATCTCAAACTGGTAACCTGATTTTTACAGATTTTAAGTGACCTTTTGGTGTCCAAAATAGAGAGGAAAAATCAACAGAGACGCAAAAGAAAACAACCTTTGGATATTTACGGATGAAAAATTTGAGAGAATCCAGCGGCTCCTCACAGAATTGCCTCAGCCGATGATTCCATGGGCCAGGTTTTAAATGGTTCTCAATCACTGAGTAGAGGTTTGTATTTTCATGTACTCTGCAGCAAAATCAATTGCATGAGGTCTATCGCCTATAAGCCCAGCAAGTGGTAATAAGAACTGAAACACAGATGGGTTGTTCAAAAGGGAAGAGATATGATAGAACATGAAAAGAACGTTTGAAAAATAAAATTAGTAACATAGCTATCACACCTATGGTCAATCAATACAATATCAGTTGAATGAAACCGCCACTCAATTGTCCAACAGATGAATTTCTTCCTGGTTCAAAAAAAGAAAAATGGAAAAATGAGAATCTCTTAAAACTTACATTACCATTTGGTGCCAATACAAAAGGGTAAAAAATAAAGCAATGTAAGTTAACATAGTAGAAATATAATAAATATAAAACAAGAATGCAGACATTGATGCAACACAAGGATCAAACCTGAGTCACAAACAACCAATTATTTACTTTCTCAAGTCAGTATTTGTTTTGGAAAATAAAGGAATTCAAATGTTAATGATCGTTTACGTACAAAAACTTAGTCTTCACTCGCTAAACACTGAAAGATTCCTATTTCATCAACAATGTTTCAGAAGAAAAAGTTCGGACACTACCCAGGACAGATAAACTTCATGCAGACTTTACTAGATAATGTATTGACAAATACGATTGTCGTGAACCGGTAAAGTTACTGGCCACCAAGAGAAAGACTAAGAAGATATAATAATATAGAATCATATTATTATAATAACATAATAAACAGACCATTTAAATCGATTAGATTAAAGCATCCAACAAGTCTTAAATAGACCAGATCACGCAACACTATATGTACTCCAAGATGGAAAGCTCTCGTAAAATTGATAATCACCTGTTGTTGTAGCAAGATTGATTTGTCTTCCTCTTTGTCATTCCACTTGAATGAAACAGGAGTTTCGTCCTCCGACTTGCCGCGGCACTCCGAAGGCGTTGAAGGTGAGAAGGAAGCCTAAAATGGGAATATCCACACAATTTTTCTCTCATTCTCTGAGCAGATTCAGCGACCCTCTTCGAGTCCTCAAGCATATTATAGTCTGCCCATAAAAAAATCTTTCAAACCATAGCAAGAGTATTGAAATTTGAACACAATAAGTTCCTTGAGCAAATTATAGTATACTCACATGAGTTCTTTAAGAATTCAAAAAAATGAATGAAATTAAAACAAATTTGTAATATTCTCAACCAAACAAGTTAGTTATGATATAATTGTATTGTCAGGGCCGTTACCATTCAGGCTGAAGAAAGAACAAACCATATTAAGAGGGATAAATTTTCAAGTGATCTTTAGTTCCATAGGAAAATTATAAACAAACAGGAAAATTTATCATAAACACACAAAATGTATGCAAATGAAACAGAATTGCAGGCTTTCTCAGCCATAAAGAATGCCTCAAAATCAAGAGAAGGAATTCGTAATTTGAAGAACAAAATAGAGATTGACCAAATTATATTGTATCCATGAAGAACTATTTAAAATTGTGAAAAAAGCACTGAAATTTTGAAATATGATAAACGTATCAGACATTCAAGAGCATATAAGAATAAAATTGTAAAGAGATTTTCAAACAGTAAAGTAGCAAACTCTGTCAAGCAAATCACAACCTATTTATAAAGAGAACATCATAACTTTTTAAAAAAGCACTAGAAGTCTAAAACTTAAGAAGTTGCATATTTTCGATAAACTTATAATATGCCCATTATATATATATATATATATATGTTTAAAACCATAGATATTTAAAACCATAGATAGTAATAAAAATTTAATAAGTCGTAGTGAAATTTGAAAAAAAAAGTATACCATAAAAATTTAATAACTATGAAAATGGCCATAAACTTTGAAGAGAAAAATGTAAACTTCCTTAAGAAAATTATAATCTACCCATTAGAATCTTCAAACCAATTAAAAGTGTATTTGATTTGTAATGTAGTGCGGTTCCTCAATACAATAAAAATCAGGCCTCCAAAACACTCTGAAAATATATATATATATAATTGTATGAAAAAAAAATGATAAAATTCCTTAAGCAACTTACATTCTACCCACAACAATTTATCTTCCAAAAATCTAAGAGGGAACGAAGCTGGAAGATATAGAAGCAAATTCTCTCAAGCAATTTGCAAGCCACCCAAAAATAAATCTCAAACTCTGTGAAAGAAGTATCCAAACTGAAGCTACAGCCTACACACACAAACCAAAAAAAAATCCAATTTCCTTGAGCAAAACTACCATACAACCAGAAGGGTATTGCATTCTGAATACAAAAATATTAACTTCGTGAAACATACCCTAAACATACTTTCACACAGAAAAATTAAAGCCAATTTTATAGGTTTAAAGCCGAGTTGACAATTTAAAGCCAAATTAGCAAATAAAACAGAGAGAGAGAGTTATACCAGATAGGAGGAGATTGTCGTCGAATTGAGAAATAGGGATGAAGTCGGTTCGGTGCCTCTTGCCCGTACAACCAGTGCGTTGTTTGTGAGCTTTGACGCAAGGAAGACTACAAGAGCGTATTGCGCAACCTGGACATTTGTACTTTGATGGGTTAGATTTGCACTCTTCGCATATAGCTGGTTGGTTTGAATTTGTTGCAGCAGCAGCGTCTTCTTGGTCCTCCATCAGAGAGCGGTTTCGAAGGGAGGAAGTAGAAGAAGCAGGACTAGGGTTTATGGTTTTCTGAGTGAAGCTGCTGCTGAGTCGTTTCTAATGTTCAAAAGAATGCACATGTTACACTAAATCCTCCAAACGGTGTCGTTTCCAATATTTATATAATTTTTATTCTTCTATATTTTTTTAGTATATTTTATATATTTTTTGAAAAACAAACTCTTAATCTTTTCTAGTAATGTCTATTTTTTTTCACTTGGTATAAGATAAGAAAAAAAAAAAAAAAAACAAAAAAGGAGGCACGATATTGTTGAGGTTAAATTTCACTCTTTTTTTATTTTTTAAAGTTTAGATACAAACAAATTTTGTTGTGTTAGTGGCAAAAAATTGATAGAAGGATATTTTTTTCATTCTAATACATGAAATGACAACAAATATTTAATAAAGAAATGATAAAATGACACACTACTATTATTAAGTTGGATTCAAATAATGGATCGTAAATAAAATTTACCCTAATATTTCATCAATCCTCTCTAGTACTTTTTTATTTTTATTTTTATAATTTTCGAAACTAATAAAACAAAATTTTATGAGATGACACTTTGTTTACTAATGGTTAGATGGGAAAGTGGAGGTAATTGTTAAAAATAAAATTAAAAAAATAAAATAAAAATAAATCTAGAATATATTTATGAAAAGTAATTTATTAAAGGATCTGTTTTTATATAATGATCTCGAAAAATGTATAATATTTTATAATTTGTTAAAAATTGTTCTGAAAAAAATAAACTAAATAAATCATGAATAAATCATCCAATTGGAAGTCACCAAAACTCAACTTTTGAATGGGGTTTGGAGCCATTAAAGTTAACTTAAAAGGGGCAAATCTTATACTATAAGTTAAATTAATATTTAACAAGTTTAAGGTTATTTGCCAGGAAAAAAAAAAAAAAATTTTTGATCAATACATATATTCATGCAAATTTAATTTCTATTTACTTTTTTCTTTCCTTTCAATTTTATCATTCCTCTTGGTTCTTAGATTGAAAAGCATTTTTTTAAAGATTTCTTAGACTAAATGAGTTTGATAATGCAATTTGAACATTTAATTTTGAACGAATTAATTGCTTATCCAATTAAGTGAGTTTGATAATGAAATTTAAATATTATTGATAATAATTAATTCTAAATATCAAAAAAATATTTATTTTTTGATTATTGCTTAAAAAGCTTAACACTCAAAAATAGAGTTTAAAATTTTCAGTACTTATCAAAAAACACCTTATACATGAAACATATACAAATGTTTTAACAGCACCTTCATAAATTAGTGATATCTCTTTCTATTAAAAATTCAATATGAAAGGTGAAAAATAAATAAATTGTCAATTTAAATATATATATATAGAATAGAGTACCTGATTCTCTCGAGTATATGAAAGTCCAGACTCTTATTATCTGGGTAACACTTGTCATTTCCTTATTGGCTGAAAGCTCACGTTTAGGAGGATAGGAGGTGCCCAACCTTGACCAATCTTGAGGGTTCATTTGGTTAGATAGAACTAGCAAGAAAGGAAAAAAATCCAAAAATATTTAAACTTTTTGTGCTTTTGTTTAGGATGAAACGAAAAGTTTTCAGGAAACTGGGATTCCCGAAAGTAGCTAATTTTCTCTAAAACGATTCCTGTATAAAACATGCGAAAAATTTTGTTTATCGGGAAAGTTGTGAAATTATATTTTAAATTCTTATTATATCCCTAATTATTAATTGGGTTTCTTTTATCTTTTTCTCCTTTTTCGAGAGACATTTTTTTTTTTTTTTTTTCAAAAGTAAATGAACTCATGAAATTGGGGAGATCTTATTGTAGCTTTTTTTTTTTTTTTTCAAATAGGTATATACATATAACATATTATGGTGGGTATTTTTTTAAGTGCATTATATTAATTTACAATATGTATATATACATGTCAACTAGATTTTAGAATTTGGATACTAAAGGAAATATATACATTTATTAAAAAGAAAAATACAAAATATTCTATAGTTATATAATTTTAGTTGAATTAAAAAAAAAACCCTCATAAACTTGGTTATTATATGTAAAATTCTATTGGTATTGGTTATTCTAATATAAACAAATATATAGTGGAATAATTCTAATCTTATTCGATTTCATCAAAGTCCTTACAATTACTATATAAACAATTACTATATAAATTTTAATGTCTAAATTATATATATATATATGACTAAAGTAATTCAGGTGACTTAGTGTCTCACACAAGTTCAGAATATTATTATTAATAACAAAATTTGATACATGAATTAATTTTACTCAAATTTATTTATATTTTTAGTATTAAAAATTATAAGGGCAATTTTGTCAAGTACGATTATTTTCTTTTTTCTTCCATTCTATTTAAACATTTTTTCACAACTTTCACGCTAACCAAATACACCATAAAAACTTAATTTTCTTGGCTTCACTTCCACTTTCCACCGTCTAATTCTGTCTAATCAAACTAACCCAAAAGAACCAGGTACTCTATTCTAATATACTAAACTAACGTGATCGAGCCGAAAGCACTTGCAAATTATAGGCCCAGATATTATTATAATCACACAGTGTACACACAGCACAATACAAGTTCATCCAACGTTCCTCATTTACCGCCCCATCCTCTATTTCTCTCTCTAAAAACTCTCTCTCTCTAAAAACTCTCTTCCCTTCAAAGCCACGAATCAATAAATCTGAGAGAGACACACAGCTTCACTTTTAGATCTCTCTGTTCGACCCAATCTGAGAGATCTCTCTCATATTGTCTTTTTAGCTTCGCTCTCCTTTTCTTCACTTTCGTTTGTGGATCAACAACCCCTATCTCATATTTCAGGTACGATTTCGATGCGTATTTAAATTCATACGTTTTTGTTTCGTTCTTCAATTGATTTCTTGATATCTCTGAATCAAAAGCTGAAGATCTTGAGCTCACATTGATATACGATTTGAGAATTTTTGTTTAAATTTTCGTTCTCTAACGTGGATCTTCTTTAGAATGTATTGAACTTTACATATGATCAGTTATAATTCTAGATTATGAGCTTAGGGTTTTATTTGTATGGATCTGCAATTGATGGAGTGTTTCTTGTGATATATACATGCGCAGTGTAAGCTATGTTCTTGACACATTCTTGACGATCGTTTATTTGAGATCTAAATGCACCTTAATGCTGGAATATGCACTCTTCTATTTTTCAGATGCTAAATCTGTAAAATTCTTTAACGTTTTTGGTGCATGTATTCAATGCTTTTGCTGGATATAGTGTTTTTAAATGTCAAATTTGTATCTTCCGATGACAAATTTATGTTATAGAGCTATGGATCTGCCTTCCAAACAGTTTAAAATTATTGAGAATGTTTTCTGTTATTATGTCTTAATTAACATTCAAGATATAGTTTGATAACTCTTCATATCATGTTTTATGATGTTAGATTTGCATAAGCTCAAATTATCCAATGCATGGACAATTGGACATAGAGGCAACATCTATACACACACGCAACGACAACTTCTTTCACTCTACTTCCATCCTTGATTAAAACCCTAATAATCTGTCACATATTTTGCTCTGAATAATATTCCAAGATTCCTATTAAATTTATAATAATATATATATATATATATTCAAAATTCTGTTTACGAATGACTGTTAATGCTGTTTCCTTAGATCTGATGTGAGTTGGGCATGTCTGGAAGAGAGTTCAAGACTTGTCTCGTGTTTCCAAAATATAAAATTTACTATTGAATAATTGATGCATGTCAAAAAATATCCAAGTTATGCTACATGGAACAATTCAAAATGTTGAAAAGTTCTGCATCCAATGTTCGATATGGTTATAGATATTGCTTATTAATTTTTTTCTTTAATATCTATCTGCAGTGCTTTCTCTTTGTCATATTACCAACCATCATGTGGAGATTCAAACAGTTCATGCCTAAAGAACCAACTGGGCTTGAAGGCCGCACCATTGACATTGGCAATCTGAAAGTTCAGGTTCGCAATGCCATCGCCGAGGGTGGTTTCTCTTGTGTTTACTTAGCTCGAGATGTGATACATGGTTCAAAGCAGTATGCTTTGAAGCACATGATTTGTAATGATGAGGAATCTTTGGAACTGGTGACGAAGGAAATTTCTGTGATGAAATCGCTTAGAGGACACCCTAACATTGTCACACTTTGTGCCCACACCATCTTTGATATGGGACGGACGAAGGAAGCACTTCTTGTAATGGAATTCTGTGAGAAGTCTCTGGTTAATGTGCTGGAGAGCAGAGGATCTGGGTATTTTGAGGAGAAGCAAATCTTTGTAATTTTTAGGGATGTATGTAATGCAGTCTTTGCAATGCATTGTCAGTCTCCACCCATTGCTCACCGGTAAAGATAATACATTATTGGTTCAAATGTTGGCCATTTGGTGTTAATCCGTAGATTCTTAAGAATTTTCATCCTCAATCTTTCTTTTGGGAAGGGCACGGCCCACATTGTCATTGTTTGTTGTCAGTTCACTGGTGTTTTGGAATATGTTGTGGATTGCATTATAGTAGCTATTTCTTTTGTCCTGCTGTGACACCATTTCTTAAGTGCTTCGTGTCGAAATCACTAGTAAATTTCCTTGTAGTACACCCTTACTATTAATTCTGGATTTCACTCTTTTCCACTAGGCACCTTATTTGCATCAACCATAGTTGTAATATATTTTTATCTATAGATGTGGATGTGATGGATGTGTTGCTTACCTATGGTAAAAAGGGTGGATGTGGTAGGTAAGAAGCACATAAACCTTAGGAATGTGCTATGTTTGTGTTAAATATGTGTCAAACACCGACCTAGTACTTGGCTGACACTCCCAAACCCTTTTGGAGACGTTGTGGATGCGTCCGTAATTTTAAATAACTATAATTGCAAATACTTGACCAATGCATCTTAGACATTTTCCACACAACTTACATAGTGCAATCATCTTAGGAGGATCCACCTGTGCCAGTTAGGGATACAAGATGAGCACACCCCATAGGATATATATTGTATTAGTGTAATGTTCTTTATGATTTTTTTTTTTGATTATTCCTCCCTTTTATGCTTCAATTTGTGAGCTATGCCTAAAAAGTTTTTATTATAATATTACGAATTATGTATATATTTTAATTGCTTTTGATAGAGACTTGAAGGCCGAGAATCTTTTGCTGGGGTCTGATGGACTATGGAAGTTGTGTGATTTTGGAAGTACCTCTACCAATCACAAGCGCTTTGAGAAGGCTGAAGAAATGGGCATTGAAGAAGACAATATCAGGAAGCACACAACACCTGCCTATAGAGCCCCTGAGGTTGAATGAAGGACTTTGCTTTTGATTAGTAATATTGATCTTTATGGTATAAATGTTGACTCCCGTCTCCCTTTTCTTGACTAGATGTGGGATTTGTTCCGGAGAGAAATTATAAATGAGAAAGTAGATATTTGGGTAAGTTGATTGGACCTCGTAAATTTCTATGATGAATTTATAAATATATTTGATGTGCTCTATTTGTTCTTTGAGATAAAGCTGTTAAAATGATATCAGAGGCTGAATTTAATTTGTTATTCTGCAGGCCCTTGGGTGCCTCCTCTTTCGCATATGCTACTTCAAGTCCGCATTTGATGGTGAATCGAAGCTTCAAGTTTTAAATGGGAACTACCGCATTCCAGAATTACCAAAATACAGTTCGATTATTACCGACTTAATCAGAGATATGCTTGAATCTTCACCAGATGCCAGACCAGACATCACGCAGGCAAGCGTTTTGCTTGATTGGCCATTCATCTCCATGAACTTAGGTTAGTTTTAGATAGTTTGTATCCTTGCATTGTAGGTGCTAAGACTCTCTCTAATCTAACTGGTGTCTCTTTTTCTTTTTGGTGGCAGGTTTGGTTTCGTGTTAATGGTTTATTACCAGACGGGTTGCAGAAGTCGTTACCTGACAGGCCACCGGAAATGCACCAACAAGGTACTGATGTGCATGAAGGTGAGGACGTTAGCCTTATTTACATCAGAGCTCTAGGTGTCGTGTAGACTAAATATCTCCTGCTTAGCGACGTTAAGTTCAAATATTGAGGTGTTTTTTGAACCGGTTGAAATCAAAACTAAATTACAGAACTCTGAAGTGTTGGAAAAATGAACGGGGGCAAAGTTCAAAGTTGTGATATTTATTAATTGACTGGTTTAGGAACAGGGTCAGACCCAGAAATTTAAACTTGAGGGGAAGCTAGTAGTAAGTATGAAAAAAAAAATTTGAAAAAGAAAAAGAATAATAACATATTTTTCTTTCAATAAAAGCCGTAGTATATATGCTTAACATAAAAGAAAATATAAAACTGGTGCCTCATGGAATTAAGATTGTTGCCTATACATGGTTTTGAAATTTTAATAAGGGTACATGCTTTAAAACTCTATTTTTTATTCTTTGGGGCCCATGTTATAAATGTTTAAAACTAAGTATCTACAAGTAGGTCTATTAAATACGATTTTGAAAAATTTTGCCCTCTAGCGGTCTGCCCCTGGTTTGGGACCATATGTTGAAAAACATTTAGAACTTGAAACCCTGCTTTTAGTCATGATGCTTATTGGTGATTTAGCAGGCATTTCGAAGCCTACAAATAAGACTCATCAAATGCCTCGTAGAAGTCCGCCAGCCCCTCCATCTGCAGAACCTACTCGGAATGTATCTCCACCATCACTTAGTTCCAGGCCAGGTGGAGGTGGGGCGCCACTTGGTGCTTTCTGGTCCTCTCAGCATGCAAAGGACACACTTTTTACAGAGGACAAGGATGGGCCCAAATTTGATGAAGAACCAGGCAGCCATAGTAGCCCGCTAAAAGAGGAAAATATCCACCCCCATCCCGTCCAGAAAAAGGTGCATGGAAAAGCAGTCAACAGATCTGAGAATGATCCTTCAAAAGACTTTGAAATAAAACTTTCCCGGGATGAATTAGACCGTGGTACCGGAAGGCCAAAAGCATCAAAATCAGAGAGCACGACTGCTTTCCAAAATGAAACTTTCAACACTTTTGTTGCGGAATTTGATACCGATAAACTCAGCCACGGATTGAACAGTAAGAAATCAGGGAATGAAGTAATGTTAGAGGCTGAAGTTGAAAGGCTTAAAGAACAGCTGAAACAAGCTAATACAGAGAAGGCTGAAATAACTTCCAAATATGAAAAACTATCTTCCATTTGCCGATCTCAGCGTCAGGAGATACAAGAGCTTAAGCAAACTGTTGCTGCTAGAACTCCATCACCAAATAGAGATGCTTCACAAAACCAAGCTTCTCCTGGGTTTCAATCATCTCCCAACCCACCGGTACCTTCCCCCTGCCTCTTTGAAGATTGCTACTTTTAAATGTTGTACTTGGTGTAATTCTTATCGGTTTCATTCTCATTGTAGCAGGAGAAAATTGAAGGTACGGTTTGGGAACTCCAACAAGGATTATTTGGTACGAGTTCCCCAAGCCAGGATTCCAAGCCATGGCAAGCTTTTGCTGAAGATCCTAAGTCACAGACAACTGCGATGAACTACACTCCCAAGTCTGTTAGAACGAGGAATGGTCAGCAGAACAAACAGGCTGCTGGAGTGACTTCAGGCACCGACAACACTTGGGGTTTTGGTACAGAAAGTTTTACAGCAATTCCTACTGCCACATCTCAGATATCCAGACCAATTAGTGATTTGAAAAATTCTCAACGAATCAGTGAGTCTAAGAATATAGAGAGCAAGTCAGCTTCGCAGCCTGCTGGATGGTCTGGTTTCTAAATGTATGCCATCCATGGAAGATCCAGGTACTCGGTGTGTATTTTACCCACATAATTTTATCTTCTTCGTCTACTGGCTGAAAGGATGAGAATAGGGAGAAACAGAAAGAAAGAATACATGCCTTTCACGGGCTTGTTTTGTTTGTTTTGTGCCATTGAATATTTGTCTTCTGTAGAGTTGGTTATGGAATATAACATTTGACATTACATGGGCTTCTCTGAATCTGAATCTGAATCGATCAGTGCCTTGTAAGTGTACACATCTGCGTGTTCCATGCTTTATAAAATAATGTTGTATTTTTTTGCTGCTTTTTGCTAGTAAATATGTTGATTTACAATCTTTATTCTTCCTTTTTTTGTACTGGTATTATTCATTGTTATCGAGCTCTAAGATCTTCAGGATATTGAAAATCTGAATCACTTAAAAATACTTCTGATACACCCAAGGCTAAAAATGCTTTATGACAGTCATACAACTTAGATAAAGTGTTTCTGCCAATAGTTGAACATAAATCCTAAAGAACAATGCGAGACTGGGCTTTCAGTGTAAACAACAGTAATAAATATCTAATGTCGACATATATGTATTTGAAGTTTAATAATCTGAGAAAAAATGTGGTCACAATGATGACAGAGTGATCAAACTAGTTGTTTGATGGGCGCTTAACATTTGAAAAAGTGCAAACATTTAAGGGCCACAATTTCTATTTTGGAGATAAAAAATGTGGAGAACAAAAGTTGTGACAACTGAAAATGAAAATGAAGGACATGTATTCAACGAGAATTCAATACAATAGGATAGCCTCCTTATCTTGTTAATAATCCTTACATAACAGTGAAGTTCCTTGAATCATTGCCAGCATTTTATCTATCAATAAACAAAAGTTCCTTTTGGTTTCTTTCATCTGGAATACTGGATTTAGCATCTACCTGACTATTCTTACATGTCTAAAGAGCAATAATTGATCATTGTAACTGTTGGATCAAACCAACCTATGCATTGGTCTTGTCATCTGGTCTATCATCATCTATGGTCTATGTAAGAAAGAAAATAAATTAATTCATACTTAATCAACTTGTAAAGCTTATTAAATGTTTGATGCAGGACAGATATGCTTATTCTAATATTATTCAGTAATCAAAGCTGAAAATGTGTTATTACATATGAGCCTTTATATAGTCCTAATAAACCCTAAAATATAAAAAATACTAAAAAAAACCTTAAATTCGAACATTAACAATTAATTTACTAAAATCCTTAATTTTATTTCTCTATCTTCCCATGAATGGGGGAGGTTAGCCTTTCTCATAAATAAGATATATCAAATAAATTGTACAAGTGAGTTTTAAATTCTAGGTGATAAAAGAAGTTTCAAATTTCAGAGAAAAAGTGAAGACAAATACTCTTAAGGTTGGTATATAAATTCAACAAATTGAGCTAAAAGGGCAAGGACATGGGGGTGCAGAAACTTCCACCACTCCTTCAAACATCTGAGTGACTTTCTTCATTGAGGGCCTCAAGGATGGATCCTCCTGAATGCACCAGATTGCCACCATCACTAGCCTCTCTACCCTCCTCATGTCATTTATTGCCTCCTCGTCATTCTCTATCAGCTTATCAAGTCTTCCATCTTTGTAACAGTCATAAGCCCAATCAGTCAGTATTGCATCCTCTTGGTTCTCCCTTTCCATATCAAAGTTCTTCCTGCAACAAATGATCTCCAACAGCATGACCCCGTAACTATAAACATCCACTTTTGCGGTAATTGGCATGCTCCTGAACCATCCCGGGGCAACATATCCTTTAGTCCCTCTAATGGCTGTATGAGTAAGAGTCTGATCACCCATCATAAGCTTTGCCAATCCGAAGTCTGAAATCCTCACAGTGAGTGAGTCATCCAGTAATATGTTTTGAGGCTTAATATCACAATGGATGATCTGTATGCTGCACTCTTCATGTAAATACATGAGCCCTCTTGCAATCCCAAATGCCATTTGGACTCGTTTGTTCCAATCAGGCCTTGAAATTCCAAAAAGGAAGCTAGCCAGTGTGCCATTGCTCATGAATTCACAGACAAGAAGCCTTTGAGGCCCTTCATCGCAGAAGCCAAGCAATCTGACTAAATTCTTGTGATGGGTCTTGGCTATTGCACCAGCCTCTGTCTTGAATTCCTTCTTGCAACAACTTGTCCAACTTCTTGACTGCTACAACAGTTCTTGAACTCAACGATGACAACACCCCTCTGTATACCGTGCCAAAAGCACCTCTTCCTAGTTCTTCACTGAACCCTTCTGTGGCTACTCTGAGGTCTTTGTAAGCATAGTTGTTAAAAGCGCCTGAGGCGCAAGGCGGCTACAGGCGCAAAGCATGCGCCTTTGTATGCATAAGGCGTTGCCCTTTGTTTATTTGTTAGTATTTTGTTATTAGTTTATTATTTGCTGTTTGTTTATTATTTATTATTTGTTTATTATACTTTTTAGACAACTTTACTAAAAGAAAAGAATAAAATAAAAGCAAAAGGAAAGTGTAAAAGTGAAGTGAATCGGCCAGGGTAACTTTGAAGCAAAGAGAAAGACAAAGGCGCGATTTGAAGGCTTGAAGCAAAGACACGATCTGAATCTGCCGACTTTCTCTCACGAATCACGATCCGAATCCAGGTAAGTCACTGTTCTCTTCTTCTTCTCTCTCTTTTTTTCTCTCCTCCTTCTCTCTTCTTTTCTCTCTTCGGCAGATTCTTCTCTCTTCTTCTACAGATTCTTCTCTCTTTTTTTCTCTCTTCTTCTTCTTCTTCTATCTTTTTCTTCCCTTTTTTTCTTCTCTCTTTTTTTCTCTCTTCTTCAGCAGATTCTTCGCTCTTCTTCTTCTTCTCCCTTTTTTTTCCTCTCTCTTTTTTTCTCTCTTCTTTGGCAGATTCTTCTCTCTTCTTCGGCAAATTCTTCTCGCTTCTTCTTCTTCTTCTTCTTCTTCTTTTCTCCCTCTTCTTTATAGCAAACTTTCTCTGTGCACAGTCTTTTCTTTTCTTTTTTGAACTGAACTGGAAGTTTGGAACTGGACTGCAGCTCTGTGTCTTCTTTTTTTTTATTTTTATTTTTTTTATGAACTGAACTGGAAGTTTGGAATTGGATTGCAGCTCTGTGTCTTCTTTTCTTTCTCTTTTTTTTTTATGAACTGAACTGGAAGTTTGGAATTGGACTGCAGCTCTGTATTTTTTTTTTTTTTTAAATTGAAATGTTAATATTGCTTTGAAATTGAAATCTGGTTTTGGAACTGGACTGCAGACATTTTTTTTTTATGAACTGAACTGGAAGTTTGGAATTGGACTGCAGCTCTGTATTTTTTTTTAAAAAATTGAAATGTTAATATTGCTTTGAAATTGAAATCTGGTTTTGCTAACTGACATGAAATCTGGTTTTGCTAATTAAAATCTGGTTTTTTTTGCTAATTGAAATCTGGTTTATTTTGTTACAACACCAATAGTTGACATGAATTTATTTTGTTATCTTGAATTTGAATGTAGTTTGTATTTTAAAAGATGCCTAGTATTTTGTTGTCTATGTTTGTTTAAGTTTTATCTCATAATTCTCATTAGTTGACTTTTGCATCTTTATATTAATATGTTTAATTATTTACTGTTGAACTCAAGTACTTGATTTAGTTGGCTTTGGTATCAATATGTTGAATATTGAACTTAAGGAATTGATTTAGTTGACTTTTGCATCTTTATATATAGATTTTTTTTTTTTTTTCAATGTGCGCCTCGCCTTGCGCCTCAGGCTCCAGGAGGCCTTTGCGCTTTTGTGCGCCTTGAGCCTTTAACAACTATATTTGTAAGTGAATGACCGGAGATTTGTTTCCAAAATACTTGGCACTCTATTGAATTTCTGTTTCTTTTGGTACGAGCCGTAGAAAACTATTGAAATTGCCGGTACAAGGAGGAAGTTGAGGAATACAGAGCCACCTAGAAGAAGTGATAAAACCAGAATCAGGGTAGTTTGATCTTTTTTCTCCCTGTTTGATTCTGGAAAATATTGGTCGCCTGATGATATATCAGATTTTGGTATTTTGATAAAAGCCTTCCCATTGCGGTTTTGGTTCTCCATCCCATTAGAGAGGGGCAGTTTCTTCTTATAGCAAATATCGTCATCTGCAAACACAGCAACCACACAATTGCAATCATTGAAGCAAGATCTACTGCAATCATCTTCATTGAAAGGCTTCAACATTTGGTAGTTTTCAGAAAAAGGCCAAAACGTGTTAGGCAACACACGCATATCATATAGATCTTCCGGCTTTGCAGCACCTGGCTCGCATTTCTGAACACTGTCTTGATTGCAGCCATTGAATTTGTTATTCGGATCAGAGAACGAAAATCCTGGAAGGCACTGGCAGGCTGGCCTTAAGTTCGAGTCAGGTATGCAGTAACTGTTAAAGCCACAAGCCCCTTTGCTTCTCTCATCCTGAATTTCAGCACATATATCCTTAGGCACGGACCACACAGGGGACCAGGACTGAACCGAGCTCCCATTTCTCGGAGCCTTGGGGTGAGCATACTGCACAAAAACCCCGTCATAATCAAGGGTTGCTCTATAGTAGAAATCTCTTGCAGGGACTATATTTCCAGAAGTGAGGTTAGCAATATTTCCATTCCTTCCGAGAACATAGATGTAACCCGACTCACTAAAATTCACCAAGTAGCCAGAATTCATTGTATTTGCTCTATCAGAAGTATGACTAACATAATAAGGGTCATTTTCGTACTGTGTTGGCAAGGCAATGGTGTTGAGCACAAGATTGCCATCTGGTCGCAAACGGAGTTGGAACCTTCCTTTGGAGAAGTTGCTCTCCTTTTGCCTTGAAGACAGCTTTCCACCGACTTCCAATACTTGTGTTGGTAAGATGGTGTCTGCTGGAAGCTGGAAGCTCTCCCAAACATAGCCAGATTCATTGTTTACAAGAACAAAGTTGCCATTATCGAGCATGGCAGCATAATTAGCCCTTTCACGGATTGGCGCTTCCCAGATGTTTCGGCCTTGTGGGTCGTTGAGTATGAACCTTCCATCGAGTGTGAGATCGACTTTTGATCCTTCTGGTGCCGGATTATCTCCATTTGCATACCAGACTAGAGTTTTATCTGGGATTTTGTCGAACCAGATGGCGAGCAAGAACAGATTTTGATTATCGAGACGATGAAATCCAAAGGCAAAGTCACCAGAAGGTGAATGCCAAGGAGGAGAGTCATCGGAGGCTTGAAGGGATGATCCCAAACTAATGTTGAGATTAGTTTGAGCCACCGCTAGTAGTGGTAGAATAGGAATTAGCAAGCAGAAATGAAGAGTAAAAGAAAACATTATTTATTTATTTTTTGAATTTTGATGATTTGCAAGCAAGTTTGAAGAACTAGGACAGAGTATATATAGCAGTTTTAGAGAGCGGGAATTTAAAAATGATATCCTCCTACGTGCCGTAAGAAAAGATCTTTCTTTTTTGTCTAATGGGAGGACAATGCTAAATGTTATACTGGTACAAGTTGTATAATTTATTTAAACGTGTCTACATAATTTGTGATAATTTATGATTAATGAGAATTACATTATTCCAAACTATTTAGTAGCATATCAAACGTCACTTCCAAGATAAAACACAAGACATCACAAAGGGTCCTTATCGATATATTTTGGTTATTGTTTTTAGTCAATACCAAAACAACTATTTTGTTAGAAGAGGGTTTTTGGGTAGAAATTCAAACCATATTTAATAACTAAGATTTGTTTTGAGAAATTAAAAAACATATTTTATTTCTTTCAATACAATACCAAAATACATAATATCACCATCAATTTAGTGAAATAGATTTTGGTTAAAAACTTTGGTATATTTATGAATTATTCTAAAAAAATAATATTATAAGTATTCCACATGAATACGTATCATTTTGCTTAAGGTCCATCAAACTAGTCCAAGGAGCAAGAGGAAGATTCAGCATTTTGACTTTGATTGTGCAGCCTTTTCTGCCATGTGGCCCATCTTGGATGCTGCATTTTACTTTCCAAGAGAGAAAATTCCACGACGCTGACAAATCGACATTTACCAGAATGCCCCAATGGCTAATCTTTCTCGGTTATTATTATTATTTTTTTATAGATACAATTTCACTTTATAAAGTTGTTATTATAAATATAGTTTTATTTATTGAAGGACATTATTGTAAAATTAACAATATGAGTGTTTTAAAAATATTCTTTCTACTAACAACAATTTTTTAATAGCTCTACAATAAAAATGTTTCCTTTTTCTCACTCTAACAGCATTGCCAAACAGGCCCTTAAGGTATTAAGGGCATACACAACCTTTTAGATAAGGTGTCCACCACTTTGATGTTAGGTTGCTTCATTGCCGTAGGCATTGATTTTAGTACTTTGAAAGAAGCTCCAATGCAAGCTTATACTGAGGGAGAAAATTGTCATCAGAAAAATTATGACCTTCAATTCCTTAAAAATTAATGCAGAGAGCCCAAATCCTTCATTGTCAAAGTTTGGTTCAAAATTAAAAACTAAATCATTGATGAGAAATTTAGAATCTCCTGTAGGCCTCAACCTCCGACCTCCTCTGCAACTCTCAAACCTCTCTCTGTGAACTCTCGGTTCTCACACACTGCCATCTCAAGTTCCCTTCTCTCAATGCACTCGGTGCACAAACACTCCTTATATAAGCAAATAAACCGACACAGAATATATATATATATATATATATATATATATATGTATATCATGGAAGCATCACTTTAACAGACAACAAAGTCAGCCCACGTGGAGAGCCTTAAGGCAAGACTTTTGGCCAAAAAAATTTATTTAGTGAGCCCCACCACATCATTACTTTTTCCTTTTTATGTTTGTTTTTTCTTTCTTTCCTTTTTATCTCTCCACTTCGGCTACTTCTTTCCCACCTACTGCTGACCAGGCCACTTTCCTTCGAATGCACTGTGTGTATTAACAAAAAAAATCAACCAACAAATATCTTGCTAGTGGGTCCCGCCCACTAATTTTTTTTTTCTTTTCTCACCAAATTCATCAACCACATCTGTTTTTTTTATTATTTTTATTTTTTCCTTAGAGCATCAGTGGTGCAGTAAATGTAGAGTGAGAAAGTGTCAGTTAAGAGAGAGAAAGGAACAGCACGGTAAAAAAAATATAGTATTTTTTTTTAAGACCTACAATCATTATTTATGCCATTGTCCACACAAAGAAACCTTTTTTTTTTTCCAAAAAGTAGGACCTCCGGTTGCCCTTGGCGGTGAAATTGTTTGACGCACTCTTATGTGATTGTCTATTTTTTTTTATTGCTGTTTTGCGTGTGTTTTACCCATCGAACATCGTGTTCATTTGAATATTCCAAAAGAATGGAATAAATCTATTTCATAGCATTTTAGCCTCTGTAGGGAACTATATTATCTTATGAAATTGCAAATTGAGCCATTGTCGCAAGTATTAAACAAATCTAAATCAAAGTCAGTCCCACACATAATAAAGAACAAACTAAATCAAAGTCTGTCCCACACGTAATAAAGAACATACTAAGAACATACCTGTGAGAGGAAAAGTCAAAAATGTTGAATCTTCCTCCACCGTCGGAAATGGGCATGAAAACTTTATTGTACTTGATTGCTGACTAATTAAAATCTTGCAATTGGTTGGAATTGTAGTGAATACCATTTATTTCCCATTTTTCCTCCTTTCCAGTGGACTTCCAGTCAAGTATTTTATTTTATTTTATTTTGGGGTAAGGAAATAGTACTCACTTGTAGGGTCATAAAGAAAGATGCCGTGGAGTAAAAGATTAAAAAAATGTGATGATGTACAAAATTATTGGACCTTCCATTAATTTTACATATCTTTAGTCCTTTTTTCACACACAAAATTTCAAACATATTCTACAACATAATTCATGACTTGGTCATAGGAAAACACTATTCAAGGGATTAAGATAGCCTTAGTTTTATTATTGGACCTTCCATTAATTTTACATATCTTTAGTCCTTTTTTCACACAGAAAATTTCAAACATATTCTACAACATAATTCATGACTTGGTCATAGGAAAACACTATTTAAGGGATTAAGATAGCCTTAGTTTTCCCTATATATTTTTAAAAACTTTTCTCTAAAACTGCTATATATTCTGCACTAGTTCTTCAAACTTACTTGCTAAGTATATATCCAAATTCAGAAAAAAAAAAAAAAAATGGTTTAGAAATGTAAGTCTCTAAGTAAATATGGAATTTTGAATTCATTTATATATAATTTTTTCAAAAATTTATTTAGTGAGCCCCACCACATCATTACTTTTTCCTTTTTATGTTTGTTTTTTCTTTCTTTCCTTTTTATCTCTCCACTTCGGCTACTTCTTTCCCACCTACTGCTGACCAGGCCACTTTCTTTCGGATGCACTGTGTGTATTAACAAAAAAACATCAACCAACAAAAATCTTGTTAGTGGGTCCCGCCCACCATTTTTTTTTTTCTTTTTCTCACCAAATTCATCAACCACATCTGTTTTTTTATTATTATTTTTTTTCCTTAGAGCATCAGTGGTGCAGTAAATGTAGAGTGAGAAAGTGTCAGTTAAGAGAGAGAAAGGGACAGCACGGTAAAAAAAATATAGTATTTTTTTTTAAGTCCTACGGCGGTGAAATTGTTTGGCGCACTCTTATGTGATTGTCTATTTTTCTTTATTACTGTTTTGCGTGTGTTTTACCCATCCAACATCGTGTTCATTTGACTATTCCAAAAGAATGGAATAAATCTATTTCATAGCATTTTAGCCTTTGTAGGGGACTATATTATCTTATGAAACTGCAAATTGAGCCATTGTCACAAGTATTAAACAAATCTAAATCAAAGTCAGTCCCACACATAATAAAGAACAAACTAAATCAAAGTCTGTCCCACACGTAATAAAGAACATACTAAGAACATACCTGTGAGAGGAAAAGCCAAAAATGTTGAATCTTCCTCCACCGTCGGAAATGGGCATGAAAACTTTATTGTATTTGATTGCTGACTAATTAAAATCTTGCAATTGGTTGGAATTGTAGTGAATACCATTTATTTCCCATTTTTCCTCCTTTCCAGTGGACTTCCAGTCAATTATTTTATTTTATTTTATTTTGGGGTTAGGAAATAGTACTCACTTGTAGGGTCATAAAGAAAGATGCCGTAGAGTAAAAGATTAAAAAAATGTGATGATGTACAAAATTATTGGACCTTCCATTAATTTTACATATCTTTAGTCCTTTTTTCACACACAAAATTTCAAACATATTCTACAACATAATTCATGACTTGGTCATAGGAAAATACTATTCAAGGGATTAAGATAGCCTTAGTTTTCCCTATATACTTTCAAAAACTTTTCTCTAAAACTGCTATATATTCTGCACTAGTTCTTCAAACTTACTTGCTAAGTATATATCCAAATTCAAAAAAAAAAAAAAAATGGTTCCTTTTACTCTCCATTTATACTTACTAATTCCTATTCTTCTACCACTAGTAGCAGTTGCTCAAACGAATCTTAACATTAGTTTGGGATCATCCCTTCAAGCCTCCGATGACTCTTCTCCTTGGCATTCACCTTCTGGTGACTTTGCCTTCGGATTTCATCGTCTCGACAATCAAAATCTGTTCTTGCTCGCCATCTGGTTCGACAAAATCCCAGATAAAACTCTAGTCTGGTATGCAAATGGAGATAATCCGGCACCAGAAGGATCAAAAGTCGATCTCACACTCGATGGAAGGTTCATACTCAACGACCCACAAGGCCGAAACATCTGGGAAGCGCCAATCCGTGAAAGGGCTAATTATGCTGCCATGCTCGATAATGGCAACTTTGTTCTTGTAAACAATGAATCTGGCTATGTTTGGGAGAGCTTCCAGCTTCCAGCAGACACCATCTTACCAACACAAGTATTGGAAGTCGGTGGAAAGCTGTCTTCAAGGCAAAAGGAGAGCAACTTCTCCAAAGGAAGGTTCCAACTCCGTTTGCGACCAGATGGCAATCTTGTGCTCAACACCATTGCCTTGCCAACACAGTACGAAAATGACCCTTATTATGTTAGTCATACTTCTGATAGAGCAAATACAATGAATTCTGGCTACTTGGTGAATTTTAGTGAGTCGGGTTACATCTATGTTCTCGGAAGGAATGGAAATATTACTAACCTCACTTCTGGAAATATAGTCCCTGCAAGAGATTTCTACTATAGAGCAACCCTTGATTATGACGGGGTTTTTGTGCAGTATGCTCACCCCAAGGCTCCGAGAAATGGGTGCTCGGTTCAGTCATGGTCCCGTGTGTGGTCCGTGCCTAATGATATATGTGCTGCCATTTCTGATGAGAGAGGTGGAGGGAGTTGTGGTTTTAACAGCTACTGCATACTTGACTCGAACGGAAGGCCAGCCTGCACGTGCCTTCCAGGATTTTCCTTGTCTGATCCGAATAACGAATTCAACGGCTGCAAGCAAGACAGGGTTCAGAAATGTGAGCTAGGTGTTGCAGAGCCGGAAGATCTATATGATATGCGTGTGTTGGCTAACACGTTTTGGCCTCATTCTGCAAGCTATGACGTAATGAAGCCTTTTAATGAAGATGAGTGCCGTGGATCTTGCTTCCATGATTGCGAATGTGTGGTTGCTGTGTTTGCAGATGGGGTTGTTTGCAATAAGAAGAAACTGCCACTCTCCAATGGGAGGATAAACCAAAGCGGCAATGGGAAGGCTTTTATCAAAATACCAAAATCTGATATATCATCAGGTGACCGATGTTTAGAATCAAATAAGGGGAAGAAAGATCAAAGTACCCTGATTCTGGCTGGATCAGTTCTTCTAGGTGTCTCAGTATTCCTCAACTTCCTCCTTGTACCGGCAATTTCAATAGTTTTCTATGGCTCGTACCAAAAGAAACAGAAATTCAATAGAGTGCCGAGTATTTTGGAAACAAATCTCCGGTCATTCACTTACAAAGACCTCAGAGTAGCCACAGAAGGGTTCAGTGAAGAACTAGGAAGAGGTGCTTTTGGCACGGTATACAAAGGGGTGTTGTCATCGTCGAGTTCAAGAACTGTTGTAGCAGTCAAGAAGTTGGACAAGTTGTTGCAAGAAGGTGAGAAGGAATTCAAGACAGAGGTCAGTGCAATAGCCAATACTCATCACAAGAATTTAGTCAGATTGCTTGGCTTCTGTGATGAAGGGCCTCAGAGGCTTCTGGTGTATGAATTCATGAGCAATGGCACACTGGCTAGCTTCCTCTTTGGAATTTCGAGGCCTGATTGGGACAAACGAGTCCAAATGGCATTTGCGATCGCGAGAGGGCTCATGTATTTGCATGAAGAGTGCAGCATACAGATAATCCATTGTGATATTAAGCCTCAAAACATATTACTGGATGACTCACTCACTGTGAGGATTTCAGACTTCGGACTGGCAAAGCTTATGATGAGTGATCAGACTCGTACTCTTACCACCATTAGAGGGACTAAAGGATATGTTGCACCGGAATGGTTCAGGAGCATGCCAATTACCGCGAAAGTGGATGTTTATAGTTACGGTGTCATGTTGTTGGAGATAATTTGTTGCAGGAAGAACTTTGATATGGCAAGGGAGAACCAAGAGGATGCAATACTGACTGATTGGGCTTATGACTGTTACAAAGATGGAAGACTTGATAAGCTGATAGAGAATGAGGAGGAGGCAAGAAATGACATGAGGAGGGTAGAGAGGCTAGTGATGGTGGCAATCTGGTGCATTCAGGAGGATCCATCCTTGAGGCCCTCAATGAAGAAAGTCACTCAGATGTTTGATGGAGTGGTGGAAGTTTCTGCACCCCCATGTCCTTGTCCTTTTAGCTCAATTTGTTGAATCTATATACCTACCTGAAGATCGAGTACTTGTCTTCACTTGTTTCTCTGAAATCTGGAACTTCTTTTATCACTTAGAATTTAAAACTCACTTGTACAATTTGTTTGATATATCTTATTTATGAGAAAAGCTAACCTCACCCGTTCATGGGAGGATAGAGAAATAAAATTAGGGATTTTAGAAAAATTAGGGTCTTTATTTACGCTTATTGTTAATGTTCGAATTTAAGGTTTTTTTTTAGTATTTTTATATTTTAGAGTTGCTCAGATGTAATAACACATTTTCAGCTTTGATTACTGAATAATATTAGAATAAACATATCTGTCCAGCATCAAACATTTAATAAGCTTTACAAGTGGATTAAGTATGAATTAATTTATTTTCTTTCTTGTATAGATCATAGATGATGATAGACCAGATGACAAGACCAATGCATAGGTTGGTTTGATCCAAACATTAATGATGTTAGGAACGCTATCTTAGACATCAATTTGACATACAATAGAACATTTAATAATCTTTGGAAGTGTTTTAAATATGACTCTTACTGAGTTAAATTATTTGCAACAACAGAAGATAAGACCACTGTGTAGGTTCATTTGATCGGACAGTTGCAATGATCAATTATTGAAGTACATAGTGCCCTTTAAAGTTAAAGCAATTATGAACAAATGGACATTGACCCTTCAGACATTCAAGGGTCAGGTGGATGCTAAATCCAGATAAAAGAAACCAAAAAGGGCTTTTGTTTATATTGATGGATAAAATGCTGGCTATAATGCAAGGAATTGTCCTTGTTATGTAAGGATTATTTTATATTACCATAGTTTTGTTCAATGCCCTAAACTAACAAAATAAGGAGGCTATCTTGTCTCTATCGATTTCTCGCTCAATACCTGTCCTTCATTTTCATTTGCATTTAGCCGCGTAACCATTATTAAATTGACAAAGTACTATGCTTAGCCTTATTTTTTTCGCATATTAAACACTATACTAGTGTTCTTTTTTTTTTTTCTTTTTTTTTTTTTTTCTAAAAAAAAAAAATTTTTAATCTATTGATATATATTTGCATGCTTTACAGTTTCGGCACAAAATAATACTCCATATACATGTTGACATATACATGTGTTGGGTTTCATTTCATACATTAGCGCTTTGAAATGTATATTCAGAACAAATATGTTTTTACAATTTTTGTTCTCCACATTTTCAATCTCCAACCCCAAGTTGCCAAAATATAGATGGTTGTTGTTAGGGTTCAAAACAAAATGATTGCACTTTTTCAAATGTTTTAGGCCCACCAGACTCCTAGCCTGATTACTCTATTGTCATTGTGACCACATTTTGTTTTGGATTTATTAGACTTCAAATACATATGTCAACATTATATACTCATTACTATTGTTTATACTGAATGGCCATTCTCATGTTGTTCTTTAGGACTTATGTTCACCTATGAACAGAAACATTTCATCTAAGCTGTATTTCTGTCATAAATCATTTTTAGCTTTGGGTGTGTCAAAATATCATTGTCCATCCAATCAATATGGTGATATCTAAAAACTAGCTCTTTTCCTTTCCTTTCACAGTTTTCTGCAATTTTAGTGTTGCCCATCTTTTTTGTCTTGAAAATTATAAATCTAGACTCGTGAGATTCAATATATATATATATATATATATATATATATATATAATCAGTTCTGATTGCATATAGAAGTAAGCACCTTATTGCTGTTTCTTGTTGTAGTCGTGTTGACAGCAAGCCTTCCTGATCTCGAGTGCCAAAGATGTATGGTTCAATACTTCAATTATCACATCCGGTCGACCTTCTAAAGTTGATTCAGCTGAGGGAAATTACCTCAATCTTCAATCTAGAGATACCTTAGAGTTACTTGTGAATTCTTCCATTGACAGCATTCACAACTCTAAATTTTCTGATGAGTCCTTCAGAACTCTATGTAAAGACATGAAAGGGAACGAGCTCATTTCACTTTTGCAGAATAAGTCAGCAGTTGAGAATTTCATCACAAACCAGAGACACCCTTACATAAATTTTTGGGGAAATCACAGTCATATAGTGAGATTTTCAACTCTTACATGTTTTCCCCGTTTTAATCATATGAAATTATGTTATCATTCATGAAAAAGGAATGATTTTGACCGAGTTTTTGTGCGTGTCTACACATAACATACATATATTCTTATGACAGGTTGGATGTAACCAAACCAGGTCTCAACTTGAAGAGCCTAGTTTGTGTCTTCAGCCACAGAAGCAGCCTCAAGTTCATTCTAATAGAATTTGTAATTCTGTTTCATCAAAGGTTGCAATACCAAGTAACAAACGGATTAAGTGGACTCAAGAACTTCACGAGCGATTTGTTGAGTGTGTAAATCGCCTTGGGGGTGCTGAAAGTATGTGATGTGGAAAATAATCTCAATGTAAAAAGGGGTACATAAATTGTGGTAGTTAATCGTATTTGGTTGTGTGCAGAAGCAACTCCAAAGGGAATCCTAAAGCTGATGAACTCTGAAGGATTGACCATCTTTCATATGAAAAGTCACTTGCAGGTTCTCAAGCTATGCTATATACTCAAATTTGGATGATCTTGGATCCTCATTTTCCAAAGATCTGAATCAATTTTGCCTATCTTTGTTCTTTTTTTTCCAGAAATATCGTGCTACCAAATATATAACAGAATCTGCCGAAGGTAAATTCTCTGTCACATCTTTGTCATTATAAATTGATTTATAGCTATGTATTAAATTCTTGAGCTCCTTACCAGTCAAAAACCTCAGAGGACGTGATATATGAAATGTGGAGTGATCTACATATTATTTCATAGAGGGAATAAAATGTCAGAACCACAGATAATAGCAATGGAACTTTTAAGTTTCAGTCATCACATTGTCCTTTTGTTGTGCCATTTTTTTTTTTCCAGGTCCAACTCCATGCTAAATAACAGTTCCATTCTATTGATGTACTTATCCAATGCTAATTTGTGTGTAACCTCTTTTGTGCATTTATGTATGCCCATATAAGATCTTCTTAACATCTTGTCACACTTACACAAACCTTTTCAAAAGTTACTTGTTAGGCACTTACCGTCAAAAGCTTTGATATACAAACTCACTTTCTAATACTTGATGAACAAATAGTCGTCTTCTTCATTCGAATCAATACTTGTTTCGTCTGTTCTGCTACCTCAGAATGCATTATTTCATATGCAGAGAAATGTGAGAGGAAAACTTGTCTAAGCTTAATGCCACAGCTCGATCAAGAAATGTAAGCTTTTTATCACATCATCCATCCTCACTATATCATTACATAGGGAAAAAAAAAATCCCAAGTCAAATCACTATCTAAATGTCAACTGAAGAGGGAAAGGGAAATTTTATTTCTTAGCCAACTAAACGATTAAAACATAGAAGACTATTTAACCGTAGCATTGGTTTATACCCTTTGTGACAGAAACACGCAGATAGCAGAGGCACTAAAACTGCAAATGGATGTCCAGAGGCGCGTATATGAACAACTAGAGGTTTGGGACTGGTTACCTCCTTTTATCACCGAGTCGTTGACATTATATTCGTACCTTTAACACTTTTCGTTCTTTTTTACTTCTCTCATTCAGAGTCAAAGAGTAATGCAATTGCAGATTGAAGAACAAGGGAAGCAACTTAAGAAGATGTTGGAGCACCAGAGGACGACAAATTATAAGACCTGTATTGATGATGCCGAAGATACTGAACAACTGAATTCATCAAAATCATTGAACAAATGAAAATTTATCGAAGAACACTACTCGAAGATATCATCTACCATATTGGCTGAAAGACTCTGGTGTGACTTTGTCTTTGTCCCATAATTTCACACAATAACAGGTAGAAAACACATTGTTGAGCACTGAGTCCTAAATTTTGCAACCAAAAAAAAATTGGCTCCTCAATTCATGTATGAACCATTTCACCTTCCTTGATATGCTCAGTTTTTAAGAAAAAAGGAAAATTCTACTTATGTTGTGATTCAGAAGTACAACACTGGAGTGAAATTAGAGGTATAAGAGGCTACAAAATCGAAGTTTGGCAGGGAATGTGGCTTGCAAATCCAAAAGGAAGGCTTAGCTTATAGTTTATCTTTTTGTTCTCTGACTCATTTTATTTAATCATTACGACACACTACAACGCGCGATTGTGATGTTGAATTCCACCATGTTCTTGTTTTCTTCTATATACTATTTCATATTTTTTATAGAATCTAGACAACCCACACATTTTATTGCTTATAAATACAAACTGCCATTTATGGAACGACCCAAAGCTAAATATTAATTATAAAAAAAATTAAAAATTCAGCATGACCTTTGCTAAAAAGGAGCCTACAACCACCTGCTCAAATAAAAAAAATGCAATTGCCCTTCCTGGCCCATCAAGACTTATCTAAGCTATCCCAACACAAGATACAAAACAAAAACATATAATACATTCCAGCATCCCATTCATTCATTCATTATACATCAACAAAGTTCAGTTTATGGTGGAACAACTACATGCTATATAATCCAAATATCATAATTACAGTTCCAAAAATATAATTACAATAACACGAGTCTATAAGTCTCTATACCGAATATAACAAACTAAGGATTTACAAAAACATATGGACTTAGATACAAAAATAGCAAAATGGTCTTCTAATCCAAATTAGGCCTGTGGTGGAACGTCATTCGCCACTTCATTCCCGTTTCCTGAAAAATATTAAAATGAATGGGTGAGCATAAGCTCAGTAGGAAGTGCCTAAGGCACACCTCTTGAGACCTCGTGAATTCACACAATGAATAGGAATAAGGAAATTGGGACCATACCATACCGGAAGTAAAATTATAGCTACGATAACACATCATTAATCCAATACTACAAATAAATATGCCATTCAATGAGATGCCATGCCATGTAATGTCAGTCCCCGTTTTCCAAAACCATTTCCATTATCATTTTCAAACCGTTAGTGAACCCGTCCCATAGTAATTCCATAGCGGTACGAGAGGAGGATTGGCCACTGTCCCTGACCCATGGCAACTCCATAGCGTCATTTGGGGCCCAGGTAACTCAACCACACTAGGGCGATATCCCTAGTCCCCTCTAGGCCTCACTAACGTCGTAGCTCCTAGGTAACTCCTAGGCGGCCGAGTTTTTCACAAAATCTTTTTCAAAATTCTTTCCCAAATATATATATATATATATATATATATATATATATATATATAGTTTATTATTTATTCTTTTTTTCAAATTCATGTTTCCATCTCTTTCCCAATGAAGTGCATAGATAATTCATGCCTTTTGTGTCATCGCAACATTTATCATCACACACCAATTTTAAGATTTAACTACTTAGCATGCTTCACAAGAAGTTCCAAAGAAATAACATACTTCCTTCAACAAAATTCTAGCATGGTAAGCAAGTAAGACATGAAATTAAATTCATATAAGCATATATTTCATGTAATAACGATTAAAACACATAGACACATATCTCATTACAACAATATGATCATTTCAAGGGAAAACTAACACAATTTAACATGCTCGACAGCAAATCAAGTAAGATGATTCACAAAGGAGCAAGAAAAAGTGAATTAGGAACCTTTACCTCTAAAATTATGAAAATCCCCAAATTTATGCCTTAGATTTCGAATTTTCTATAGTGCACCAACCAAAGAATTGCTCCTATCAACTTGTAAACCTCGCCATGAGCTTCAGTTTGCCACAAACGATATTCAAAAATACCAAGAAATGAAAAAGAAATTGAAGTTTTTGTGGTAGAAAGAAAAAGAAAAAAGAAAACTGAAGGAAAGAGGAGAGTATGTCGGGAGATAGAGAGAAAATGAGAGGCTGTATGCCCCTTTAGCTACAAAATTAAAAACAATTGGTGGTGGGTCCCCCACTCACAATCCTACCCATTCTTTTAATAGACATATATATAAATATAAACATTACATTCTCCCTAACTTTAAAAGATTTCGTCTCCAAAATCAAGCCATACCTGAGGGAGAAAAGAACTCTGGATACTTGGAGCGAACCTCATGTTCAAGCTCCCAAGTAGCCTTATTTACGCCGTGATGCTTCCATAAAACCTTTACCAATGATATCGTCTTGTTCCTCAACACCTTCTGCCGTGTGTTAAGTATCTGAACTGGTCCTTCCTCGTAGGAAACATCGTCATCAATGTGCACATCAACCCAACTCAAAATGTGAGATGGATCTGGCTCGTACTTCCGTAGTATCAATATATGGTGGCAAAGCAAGTCTGTAGGCAACCTCTCCTACGCGGTCCAAAATCTCAAACGGTCCAATGAATCGTGGCGATAACTTGCCACTCTTCCCAAACCTCAATAACACTTTCTATGGAGAAACCCGAAGAAAGACATGGTCTCCCACCTCAAAGGATAGCGACCATCTCTGCCTATCCGCATAGCTCTTTTGTCGGCTCTGAGATATGAGCAACCTCTGTCTGATTAACTTAATCTTCTCGGTAGTCTCAAGTACTATGTCAGGTCCTAAGGCGGCTGTCTCACCCACCTCAATCCAATAAACAAAAGACCTACAAGGTCTACCATACAATGCCTCAAATGGAGCCATCTGGATACTTGCCTGATAATTGTTATTGTAGGCAAACTCAATAAGTGGAAGGTGATCCTCCGAACTACCTCCCAAGTCAAGTACACATGCCCAAAGCATATCTTCCAAGATCTGGATGACACGCTCCGACTAGTCGTCCGTCTGTGGATGGAATGCCGTACTCAGGTGCAACGCTGAGCCAAACGCTGCTTGAAGTCATTCCCAGAACTTCGAAGTGAATTTGGCATCCTATCTGAAACAATGGTTACTGGAACTCCATACTACCTTACAATCTCCTTCACATATAGTACACCAAGCTTCTCTACATCATCTATTACCTTAATAGGCAAAAAGTGAGCCATCTTGGTCAATCTATCAATGATGACCCATACAGCTTCATTGCCCTTCCGTGACCTTAGAAACCTGTCACAAAATCCATAGCAATATGTTCCCATTTCCACTGCGCTACAAGTAATAGTTGCAACAAACTGGCTGGTCTCTGATGCTCAGCCTTCACCTGTTGACAGGTAAGGCACTTAGCCACAAACTATGCAACATCTTTCTTCATCCCGTTCCACCAATACTAACGTCTCAAATTGTGATACATTTTAGTACCACCTGGATAAACTGCAAAGCGGGAAATGTGAAACTCCCGTAGGACGTCCTCACGACAAACCGTGGGAACAACCAACAAACCTCTGAACTATAAACCTCCATCTGCATGCAAAGTCCAATCCTTCATTGTCTCACTAATGGAGATCAAAGTGTGAATGACATCCAAATTCGGATCCTGTCTATGCGACTCAATCACTTGTCTAATAAGAGTAGGTTGAGCCACAAGACTAAACAAGAATGCCGACTCACAGCAAACATCGTCATCAAAACACTGCAATCCCATTTCTGCCAGATCTTCAAGCATCTTCCATTTTCCAATGGCTAAACTAGCCAAAGTTCCACGAGATTTCTGGCTTAAGGCATCTGCTACCACATTTGCCTTGCCCGGATGATACTACAAGTCAAAATTGTAATCTTCTAAGAACTCAACCCATCGCCTCTGTCTGTTGTTCAAGTCCTTTTGGGAAAAAATGTACTTGAGACTTTTATGATCCGAGTACACCTCGAATCTCTCACCATACAAGTAATGTCTCCAACACTTCAAGGCAAATATAACTGCCGCTAACTCTAAATCATGAGTAGAGTAGTTAAACTCGTGAGTCTTCAACTGTCGAGACCCATAAGTCACTACTTTACCATCCTGCATCAACACACATCCCAAACCATCACGTGAAGCGTCACAATAAATCACGTAACCCAAGCCACGCTCAGGTATCCCCAACACTGGAGCCGTAGTCAACATTGTCTTAAATTCCTGAAAGGATGACTCACAAGCTTCATTTCATGCAAACTTAATCCCTTTCCGGGTCAAATGGGTCATAGGCGCTGCCAAGCGAGAAAAATTCTTCACAAATCTTCGGTAGTAACCCGCTAAACCAAGAAAACTGTGGATTTCAAATACATTATTGGGTTGCTCCCAATTCAGAACTGCCTCTATCTTTGATGGATCAACTGATACTCCACCTTCTGAAACAACATGTCTCAAAAACTTCACATCTTGTAGCCAAAATTCACACTTCTCATATTTGGCATACAATCAGTGCTCCCGTAAAATCTGCAATACAATACTCAAATAGATCTCGTGCTCCTCCTGAGATCGTGAATACATAAGAATGTCATCCACAAAAACTACCACAAACTGGTCCAAGCAATCGTGAAAAACATGATTCATCGAATCCATGAATGCCGCTGGCGCATTAGTCAAGCCAAAAGGCATAACAAAGAACTCATAGTGTCCATACCATGTACGGAACGCTGTCTTCCGGATATCCTCATCTCTAACCCGTAACTGAGAATAGCCTGACCTCAAGTCAATCTTCGAAAAACAACTGGCTCCCCTCAACTGATCAAACAAATCATTTATCCTTGGCAAATGATACTTGTTCTTGATGGTGGCATGATTTAACTTCCGGTAATCAATGCACAACCTCAAAGAAGCATCTTTCTTCTTAGCAAGCAAGACCGGTGTGCCCCACGGTGACACACTCGGTCGGATGAAACCTTTCATCCTTAAAACGTCAAGCTGCCTTTTCAATTCTTCCAATTCAATTGGTGCCATAGAAATTGGTGCGGTACCAGGCATCAAATCAATAGTGAACTCCACTTCTTGGTGTAGAGGCAACTCCGTCAAATCCTCTAGAAAAACATCCAAGAATTCACAAACGACTGCCGGATAAACCGCTTTCATAACCTCATCTTCTTCGGCTAAAAGACTAGCCAAGAAGTAATCACCACGACTCCGTCCACGAATTCCATACAATGATGAAGGTTGGGAATCACTTTGATCTCCCATGAAAAAGAAACAGTCTCCCTCAGGAGTGCAAACTATGACTGTTCCTCTAAAACAGTCGATTGTGGCACGAAAGGAAGCTACCCAATCCATCCCGAGAATGATATCAAAGCTAGTCATCTCCAGGAGGATAAGATCAAACACAAAAGTCCGCTCGGCTATCATAATGGAACAATCCTGCACAACTCGGCTCAAAGACACTAAAACCCCAACTGGCATATCAACATACAACATTCGATCCATGAAACTGACCTCTAACCCCGATGCAAATGCAAATGATGATGATATGAAGGAATGAGATACACCAGAGTCAAACAAAACACGGGCCCAAGAACCAAATATACCTTTGAGAACTGATGGACAAGAAGATGCATCGGCCTGTGCAAGTACAAAAACATGTCCCTGTGGTGCCTGTGCCTGAGAACTGCTAACCTGAACACCTGACTGCTGCACTAACATAGTAGGAATATTCCTCCTAAC